CGCGCACGAGATTAGCAACGTCTCGCAACTGTAAATGAGCCTGTGCCCTGACCGACTCTCATCTGCCGTTGCCTTTGTCATACAGAGTGAAACATTTTGGCGCAGCTATTTTGGCAAGCGCTGTTTGCTCAAATATCTGCAGTTGCAGCAAACGGTAAGTATTACGGTCGCCACTCTGACTCTGCATGAGTGAGCTGTAGTCATCTGCATCAACTATCTGATTCATCTCCTCATGTAGTGTATGAATGGGATGTTCAGCGTTTTCGAAATGTGATGCGTTGTCAAACTTGTAAATTTCTGCTTACGATTCGATTGTGGTTACCGTATGAGGTCATTAAGTCATAGCGTATTTCCGAAGTAGCTATTTTGAATGCATACCATCTATATCACTGGCAGACGATCATCTGTATTAATTGCTTGATTTCAACCAAAACTGAAAAGTTAGTACAGTGTGATGACGTCAACAGGTATGATTTCCATATTTTATTATGATACCACCGTGGTAGTTACGCGAGGTTAAACGTTTAGCAGTTTAACAGGCAGGTGAAGTTTATATATCAAGCAAGCGTCCATCTGTATCAATTACTTCACTTGAATCTCCACTTTAGACATGGATCGAGAACACCGTGTGAGCACAACACGAAACTACTGCCATTTATTGTCAATCTCAATGTTACAATTTGTCAATTGCAATTGTTTGACAGTTTTATTGAGGATTATGCGAACTCTGTTTAACATTAGCGCAGGTTTACGTAGTCACGAGTTTAGAACTATCTAGTAACCGGTTTGCGACGTATTTCATTATGTTGTATATTAATCAAGCGCCATCTCTGAATAAAATCGTAATTTTGTCAGAATAGTGAATTTTTATGTCCACAAATTGGTATGATGATTTCGATGTTTTGATTACGACAAGCAAGTCATTAGATCGTCGCGATGATTTAGTTGAGCCCATACACAACTGGCAGCCAGTTATCGTATCAAGTGCTGAATGACTCAACCTTTATTCATCTTTCAATGAAAAACTGAGTACTGTGCGATGCTACTGAAAAACCTGAGAATTTCGAGGAATCCACCTTATTGCCCGATTTCAAACGTAATGAGGCCAGGTCAGTAAGTAGGTGGGCAATAATTTTAACGAGAGCTTGAATCTCTGCTTTTGCAGTCATCTATCTCAATCCTCTTCTTGGCATTCTTTCATCACACTGTCCGTCGATGAAGAGTTCTCTATAAAGATACCGCGAAAAGACGATACAAAGTGGCTTTCCACTGAAAGGTAACATGAGGGGTGAAGTTAAGTAATTGACATGAATGATCATCTGCATACCATGTAGACTTAAACTCACGACGCGCAAGACTACGAGCTGACTTAATTACATCGCACAGTCATCGCAATGGAATCGTAATCGAAAATTCAAGTTTGACAACGGACAACGATAAACATTTCACTAACACAAAGTATTCTATTGATATATAACGTCAGCGGTTAAATGAGATAGGTTATACAAGTGACCACCGTCCAGCCATATAAATTCAAAGGGGTGACCGCAGCCACCGAACACTGACAACGATCGCCGGTCTGCATCTAAACGACGTGCGCCAAATCTTCACCGATAGTTTGCCATATATTGCCGCAAATCGTAACGAACATGACACAAATAAAGCATGTTTTGCCTACTGAACGCTGGGTCCCAGAAGCAGCACGCGGGCGAATAATTTCACCAAAAATATTTTTTGACGAACCTCATTTCGAGTTATTCAGATGTGTCGATATTACGAACACATATTCAATTTTGTTCGAAATTCCGACTAACAAAATTTTCCAATTATCAGTGTAGTTATGCACGAAATTTGGTTACTCAGTCCTTAATTTAAAATAAAAAAATTATACAGAAACGTCGTATCATTCGCTTCGACTTGACCAGGTTTTAACTGATTTAAAAGTGCATATCGTCAAAGGGGTAAAAAAGACCTGTGAGAGACCCGCAAAATAATTGCGCTCAAGAAGTGTGGCGAAGAACAATGCGTATCGACAGTTTAATCACCGTTCGGATCAGCAGACGGCGTTGACGTAAAAAATGGCTACGCGCTAGCTAGCAATGATGCTGCCTACTAGATTGTGAATAACGGCGCACTTTAACAACAGCCTGTCGTGACTGGCTGACTCGAACTTATGCCGGGCCTCAAGCGAACTCCGACATTATCGAATCCTCTCTGTCTGAGGACAGTCGTTTCAACGGTATTACGTGTTCGCAAACTTATATACAAAAATATAAACGTGACAGACTTTTCGAACGTTGTAGAAGTCTCGATGAGGAACGCTCTTCTGTTCGGTCATTTCCTGCACGTCGTTCAGCAACACGTGTAACTGAAACTTCAACCGTAGGTAGTTCAGTTGCCGCTTGCACAACGATTTCCTGAAAATAAGAGCACACCCGTGGAGGCCAAACCGATTAAACCGTCATAGGAGAGCAACCATATGTTATCTACAGTATAATTTACGGTTATCCAATCTGAATAAAAAACGAAACCGAGCGAGGTACAAGAAAAATGACCACCCCCTCCCACTCAGAAAACGAAGCGGAGCAGTTCTAATATTTCCGTGCCAAATTTGACAACTGCCAAAGGGCAAATCCACTAATACCACCCGCAACGCAGCACAGAGAGCATGATAACAATGATAATGCGGTTCTCAGCATTACCACGTTAAGGATAAAATCTTATCAAAACAGTCATTCCGACTACGTACATACCGTACCTTTCGTACAGACAGGACTGTCTGAAAAACGTCAGCTGATCTACCAAGCGCCGGCTGCTACGCTTCCATCAGTTCACAGATCTTGCATTGTTCAACATAGGTCATACCGCTGTTCTGCAATATTTTAAAGATATGTCGCACTTCACGGCAATGATCCCAAGACGGCATACCTACTTCCTAAGCCACAGTCTATCTCCATGGCGTGGAGGCGAAACAGACTTTAGCGAGAACCACTAGAATAATATCATCCTACGGACCCTCGCTAAAGCCTTCTTTTTTACAATGCTACTTGCTACTTGATATGAGCTCAAGTTACCTCATGAGACACCTGATTCAACACCAAACGGAGCTAACAAACACGGCAAATGTCACTCCTAGCTGAAAGGGCGAGCGTCATGACGTCAATAATGGGAACAGCACCAAAATACGGCATTTCATAAAGTTTCCCCCTTTAAGTCGAAAAGAATATTTTCTTGATATGAGACATCAAGAACTGCTTAAACAGATCTTCGCTCCATCTTATCCAAAAGTGGCTTTTTCCTGCTCAGAACTAAGATTTCTCATTAACTTACTTTACTTGCGGATTTATACGAAAGGTGGTTCCAATCCTCCCATTACGGCTAATACTCAGACTACCCATCTCCAAAGCAGATCTGGCTGTAAAGCATAGAGCCAGATCAGGTCACAACCGCCCTTTTAGAAATTCGTTTCAGCGTTCGAAAACACGTTACGGGTAATAACAGGGATATTAGGCATTGACTGAAATTGATTCATGATTCGGTCGAAGCCGAAAATACCTAGGTTTTATACCTATATACCACTAAGCCTACGCATAAGCCTAAGACCCTATCCTGTTTCTCGCCGGTTTCAATTTTACACTGTCGCTAAGGTGGTAGTCAGGGATACCTGTGCTGATCGAATCGAGAATTCACTTCCGTCTATAGAGGTATGGGCGGATCACCGCTCTGAAAGGTAACAAATGTTTCACAACATGCTCAATACTGAAAATAGTATGCAAATAATATATGGAATGGAAAGACAGACGAACTAATAACATGAAAAATAGAGATTCTGGAATCAGAAACGGTGGAACGGACACAAAGCAAGATCAACAGACATCGAGTATGGCTTACTTTGATACATGATTAACCTGTCAATAGATATGTTATTTGAACTCCGGTTTGTCGTTACTCATTACAACAGTCTTACAAACTTGGAGATGCACAAAGGATAGCCATGAGCCCGACACCAAAACAGACCTCGTTAACTTTAAGACGACAAGACAATTATGCCAAGTTCTACCCTATGTAAGGGTGGCATCGCCATCTTGTAACACAAGATTTTTTAGACCCTGCTCCAGTCAAATTCATTCGATTAAAATAGTTTTTAAATAAACGTGTTTAAGGAAATTAGGGAGCACCCATTCAGTCCGTCTAAAAGCAACGCTTAGACCACATCCGGCGTCGCCTTCGATGCAATGGAATAAGAAGAAAATGAAAAGGAAAATTTAAAAAACTGTTTGCAAACTTTACTGCGAAACGAGTGCTTAAATCACCTTGAAAACTTCTTTAGAAGAATACATACTACTATATTTCATAACTTTAACGTGCCATGCGACGCTGCATGCTCATGTTTGTGCACGAAAGTCATGCCGCAGATGGACACGCCGTCATGGTCACAACAAAGCACCACGCTGTCAGTACTGTTGGCAGGTTAACGACATGAAACATGTTTCGTAGCCGGAGACGTTTCTCTTACCCTCGCTGCACCAAAACACGGAGGACTGAATTCATTGCTAAGGAAATTAACGGAAAACGTGGAAATTTACGAAGCACCTGTAGTTTGAAATTGGTCCCTCTAAATCGCAAAGCAAACGATTAAGCCACTGCGGCTTATCTCTCCAGGCTGCCAAATGCATCCGCCTGATCGCAAATTCTGTTGACACGTTCCGGGTTTTGCTCACTGACAGGATGGAGAGTACAGTATTTATTTACAGTACTGTATTTAGAAATGCATTTTATGTAGCTACAGCATAAATGAATCACTTTACTAAATAGTGGAAGTGATACGTATGATTGTTTAAAATATTGATATTTAAAATACATTATTCTGTATTACCTCACAGAATGACTGTCTTTCATGATTTGCGATCTCAGGTTTGAATATCATTAACAGGGTGACATACATTATTTGTCCTCTCAATAGCAATAAATGAAGCAGCGTTTACATGAGGACTAACGCCATCAAGCACTCGTAAAGATTCTGATTTCGATGTCTAGGCCTCAGGGAACAACCATAAACTAGTAAATGCCAGTGACTCTGTGACAGGTCAAGAGAACGAGATACGATCAAACTCGTGACCAAGGAATCTTGCAAATCGCAGCAAATGAAATGACAGCAACAGCTCGTACGATTAATCTAAAGGCAAGGGAACCACCGATGATGTCACCCAATTACAATGCTAGATATTTGTTATGGCTGAAACCTTCTGCAAGGAAATCGTGTTTCCCAGTGTAGAACACCGCTGTTGTGTGGTAGGTAGTCAAACTTTATTCGCAGTGTTCGATCAGACAACAGTAACAAACTTAAAAGCACTACATGAAACAGATCAACAACTCATTCAACGTGCGGAGGATCATCACACTCATCTATATCTTCCATAGTCGCTTCTCCTTTCGGGATATGCAGGCAGAGGTGTCAGACAGAGCTTCCAACGATCCCGATCCCGTGCCAGAGTCTGAGCTTCGGCAGAAGACATCTGCAGTCTGGAACATACTCATTCCATATATTTGCACCAGGTTAATCTTGTCCGACCCATGGGACTTCGCCGCCGGCAAGAAATAGTTGCTTAGCCTTCCTTTCCTGGAAGCATTCGCAACACATGCTCAAACCATCGCACCTGTGACAGCTGCGACTTCTCAATCTGGAGAAGCAAAGGCTGTATTCCAAGGCTCTTCCGGATGTCACTATTCCGTACCATATCGAGACGCGTAAGGCCAGCGACTCGTCTAAGAAAGCCCATTTCAGCAGCTTGTACCCGGGTTCGAAGTTTTTCATTGATGGTCCATAAGGCCAGCGACTCGTCTAAGAAAGCCCATTTCAGCAGCTTGTACCCGGGTTCGAAGTTTTTCAGCGATAGTCCACGATTCATGACCGTAGGTGAGCATGGGGATAAAGACTGACTTGAACGCCGAGAGCTTAGTTTTCAGACTGAGCTCTGCTTTAGTCACAACGGATCAGGCTAGTTCACGCAGAACAGGACTGGCTACTCAAATTCGCCGGTCGATCTCTTCCTCAAATTTTCCATCACTAGTTAATAGAACTCAGAGGAACTTGAACTTCTCCACCTGCTCCACTGCCTCTCCGTTAATCTGAAGCATCGGGCAAGAGAAAGAGAAAAAACCAGGTTATTCATTTTAGATGAGTTCACACGCAC